AAAAAACGTACATTGTAGATAAAGAGCATCACTCTTCTTACCCTTGTTCTTAAATTCTGACTTGTCCTTTGTGTTTTTTTCATTAAAGCTTGTACTCCCGGGTATTATGGCAGCCATTGTAATCAGACTTGTTTGTTCAACTGTAAAGACAACCGATGTATGCAAATCAATGGAGAGTGTGAAGGTATGTATCGGTGTAAAGTATGAAAAACAAATATAGAAATGTGCTACATGTATATAAGGATTGGCTAGGAATACATTTATTATTCATCTATATTATTTGGAATGCTAATGCAGATTAAATTTGCATATAATTAACTCCCATTACTGACACTGATCCTAACGATTATAATGTGTAGTAAATGAAGAATTAAGGGATATGGATATTCTACTAATGGTGTAGAGTGATCCATATAGCTCAAACCTGCTTAGTTCTTTTATTTTTTAAGTATGTTTTAGGTAAAACTAAGATGATCTTTGTGAATCTAGATAGCAAATCTAGAACATGATAACATATGTAAAAAGAACAAACAGCTGACAGAGTGTATGACATAAAAACACATTCCGGTAGTAGTACGCAACAAAAATAACAACCTGTTTGCTAATTATCAGGTGTGATGCTAATTTAGTGATGGCATATTTCCCGATCATTAAAATGAAAATTAAGTATACGAAGATATATGACATTTGCGCTGTCACTGGATTGTTGTTATTATTAAAAATAAATCAAGCGAAAATGTATAATTTATTATAAAACGAGTTAAAAACCCACTTCTTAACTAGCCCATCATTTATTTTAGACATCCTTCTTTTATGTGAACGATAACATGCTTTTTTAGTATTCTTCTTCTTTGTGTACACTGCATATGTGTGCATTATGCTCTAGAAATCCTCACGGAGGGGGCCGCGTGGTTAAAGCGTAAAATAGTCTGCTACCACTAACCTTCCACCACTGGGTTGCGGGTTCGAGACCTGCGTAGGGCAGTCGCCAGGTACTGTCGTAGGTTGGTGTTTTTTTCTCTAGGAACTCCGGCTTTCTTGCACCACCAAAACCTGGTTCGTCCATAGCTGCTAACGGGACGTTAAACACATACAAACCAAACTCTAGAAACACAATAGAATGTTGAGATATCTATTCGTAGAATATACAGATTATGGTAAAGGCTAGCCTGAATAGGTACGTGGAAATAAGTGACCTGATTCATCCAAATGCATGTCGTACGATGCGTCTAGTGTGGATCCTTTTCCATGATCAATGACTGCTTTGAGCGCAATTCATGGATATGTATTCAAATTTAACAGATGATTGGTAATAAATCTTTCCTATATTTCATATACATTTACATTTCATACTAGTGTTTTATAATTCATACATATTACTAAGCTATATGAAATAATAATAGAAGACGTCAAAACAATAGCATGTCAATATTTGTTCCCATGATCCGTTTTACCTGCAATTACGCTGTTTTTATCCGCTCTGCATCCTTATTCACACCTGCCGATTTCCCTACCCCTGCCTCCCTCACCAAAAAAAGTTCATTCACTAACGCTTAGGTAAAATCGTTACAACATTTTCGTATTCAACATTTCGCACAGGGAAATGTATAACGATTGAAATTAAAAATAGAAAATTTGGCTTCACATATTTGTACACTTTCAGCTTGCTTGAACGGCTTCTATGGGATGAAGTGTGATCGGTTATGTTCCTCTAGATGTGAAAACAACATATGCACACAATATGAAAGGAAATGTACAGGTATGATAACTTTGTCATTGGAACTAATTTTGGGGTATTGTTTGATATATTTGCATTTATAATAAAATTGTTACATGTAAAGGCAAGAAAATGATGTAAGATATTTCTTAAAATCAAATAAGAGGTATGTATATTTTCGTTTTGTATACTCAAAGTTATGTGTTTTTTTTATATGTTTGACTACATTTTGAAATACTTGAAGATAGACACAAGACTATTGTATCTTTATTTCAAGAGAGTTATATGTAAAATTTTATGTATACAATATTATATATGGTATGTTAAAGCCTGTGTCTCTTTTAATAAAGTCTAATTTGAACATATCCCTTATCTATCCTTTTTTTAAAGTTAACAATGTATGTATTTAACCTTATATTTTCTTATGTAAGCATGCAAACCTGGATATTATGGTGATATCTGCAAGACAAGCTGCCCGTCCAATTGCAAAGGGGATAGATGTAATCAGACCAGTGGGTTATGTACAGGTATGGTGATATGTCATGGTACAGACGAAGATACAATACTAAAATAATATCATTAGCTTACAGTTTATTAGTTTGAATCCTCAAATGGGCCATCAAACAAAACAAGGATTTCATTCTCAAAATCATGGCTCTCTATTCTCTACCGCGAAAGTTACTCTTACATCAAAGTTTTGCTGCATTAAGCATTCGTTTTGAGTATGTACATGTTTACGAATAGCCGCTTGGGACGTGTTTTTTGAAAAATATGATAACACAAAGCCAAGGAAAACTTCGATGATTTTCTCGTTTTTTAAGTGTAATGCTTATTAATCGTCAAGCATTTAATGGTGATCGAAAATGGTGTACAATCATAACGAAACGTTGTTGCGTTTTTAAAGAAAAGTTTCGACGACATCTCAATAGCTTTTTAGGTCCTTAAATCCCGAATATTGCTTGACCAGATATATACTATTTGGGGCAGTTGTAATGTGTTCAGAAAAATAACCAATATAATTTTGTGTATATATTCTTACATAGATGTGACCGCACATCGTGCATACATCGTGTACATACCGTCTGCACATCGTCCTCACATGGTGCGCACAACTGTGCGATTTAACAATCGTTCGCCCCGTTGTGCGCTTCTCTTCGCACAAATGTACGATTTGGTACAATTGGTTGATCAATATTACGGAACAAAAATTATCCGGAACCCTCATATTGATTAAGGAACACTGTATATAAATTTAAATTAAATGAGGATTTTAATTTTACAATGCCTGTTATACTGCATTACAGTGACTATTAGACTGTGAAGAATGTGTTTAGCTCCCAGGTAACAGAATAGGTAAATAACATATTGATGATTGACCGGACTTTCACCTGTCCTGTGCCTGACAAAGAGAGCTGATATGTGATACCGTATGACACAACTGGGCGTTTAGTATTTGTTATTTGCATTCGTCGTAGTACCCCGGGTGGGGAAATCTAGGGTTTAATTACAGGTACAATATGGCTATGTTTACATGTATACGTGACCGAGTCGATATGTGCTATTTTATATGTGTCGATTTGGGTCGTTAAAAAAACACCGAAAACACCATTTTCAGATTAAAGAAAATATAGATAAATGTAAAAAGGTCAGCTGACATTTGTAGCTTGAATAAAGATTTTCCTGGAAGTAAAAGATAAAATTGACTTATACAGAATATGTTCAGATGGACCAATTGTTGCGTAGAATATTACGTTTTTAAAACGTGGTTTTTCGTTTCGGCATAGTAAACAAATAGAGTAATTGAATTTGAGGTATAGCAAACCTAGGTCTCAATTTACTAGAAATTTGATATTAAACTTCAAGAGATTTTGTTTTAAATGTGAATTATTAGCACACAGATTACATACACCAAATAACAAATACATAGAGGTTACACACGGGTGGTAGTTGATTATGGTATTTATTTCACTCGAGTTAATTAATTTTCAAAAGTTACAAAAGACACGATCTTTAGCGACTGTCTTTCTGTAACTTTTGAAAATTAACTAACGAGAGTGATATAAATACCATACTCAACAACCACGGGTCGTGTGATCTATGTATACCACAATCTCATTCTGAAACAGCTGGAGTATTTACTGATTCGAATAGCATACTGTACACACATTTTGTTGACAAGGCTGGCGTAGTGATATGACCCGTATATAAAAAGTCACTCATTAATATTCAAAAATGATTTTATTTTTACAAATTTTATAAATTTCACAATAAATGTTTCGGCAACAACTTCGTGAAAAAATAAAATAGATGAACGACTTTAAATATTGAGAGTATGCAATATTGCATTAATTGATATGAATTAACTACGGACTATATGAGAGTAAGCATATCGTACGAAGTCTGCCTCCCAACAAGTGATGAAGACGAACTAATCGCTGTCATTGTTCAAAACCATAGGCCTGGGACGTTTCTTCGTGAGGTTCTATGGTTCACGTTTATAGTGAGAGTTTCGCCATAGACAGGCCCTCTAAATATTGATAACGGGACATGGAGAGAACGAAATATTTCCGACAATGTTACAGGACTTGTTTGGGTTTCACAGAGACATATATATTCCCTCTCTGGGTTTCACGACCTGCACACACGACGGCATGGCGTCGAAACGATAACGACGTCTGTAGCAATTTTGCCTGAAACTAGCGATCAGATCTTTAAGCATCATCTTCTTTTAGTATTTTCTTAATAACCCCTTTTCCCATCGCAAAACTTCACAAAAGTCACCAGCATGTGTCGGATGTTGACAGCAGACAACGTAAACGAAACAGCACGTGGCAAAAAAGCGCGTAAAAATCGTCCGGTCAAGGTTCATCTTCTCGATCAATCAAAACTATGGAAGGTCATATACCACGTGTGGTGTATAACTCATATGTATTCAACTGTCTGCATGTGTATACAATGATCTGAGAGTGGAATAACAGCGCGAATTGTGGTTGAAATACATATATTAAATTGTACATTTCCTACAGCAGAGTAAACATAATTGCTGAAATAAAAATGTTGTATAAGTATTGATTTAACGACACATCAACACATGTATCTGTTTAATTGCGTTTTAGAATGTGGACCCGGATTGTATGGCATTGACTGTAAGCAGACTTGTCCGGTACACTGTCGAGACTCACTATGTGCCAGAAGTAGCGGAGATTGTCCAGGTACAATGATGCTCGCAAATAGAGTCAGCTTTTCTCTCTGTTGATCATTAAACCTTTTTGGTGATAGACAAGGGTACGTTAATTAAGTTGTTAACAGTTCATTTTCCGGTCGCTGTGGCCTTTGATTGATTGACGTACAGTGTATATATGGATGGAGGCAAATGAGATAGCAATGTTTCCTTATTATTTCTGATTTTGCCAAATATCATTTAGTAAGTGCATTATGGCATTGGACATTCTATCTAATGCATCATTTGTAAAACCATGGTCCGTTTAGAGGACGACTTCTATTATGGACTCTATTGCAATACAAACTTGTTAAATTTTACAATTTTAAATATTTTTTGTTTATCTAAAGGCAAAACAATCTTAATAACTCATTGATATTTCTGGAATTTAGAGTTGGATTTTCCGGGGCAACTTTTAATATTATTTGTTTTGATCAATGGCCGGATATTAGTGAACTTAATTTAAATTGGAAAAAACCCGTTAGCCCATTTGATTTCGTATTAGGTGTAATGCACGAAAGGAGTCTTTTATGTGAATATGAAATGTTTGTATTGTAGCATGTGAACCTGGTACCTTTGGACAAAATTGTAATATGTCCTGTTCTGGTCATTGTAACAATGATGAATGCCAACGGAACAACGGAACGTGTATAGGTACAGTTGATATATCATTAACGTACAGAACATTTTGTCAAAGGATTTATGTCTGAGCTATTCATCATTTACAGATATGTTATTTGGGAACAAGCATATAAAATATGGTTTAATATTTAAGATTCAAACTACATACTATGTTTGTAAAAAAAAAGACATTGAATCATTTACATTTTGATTCATTCTGCCATGTACACATGGAGTTTTAATTGGCTCGTCAATCATAATCAAAATGTTTCATCTGAACATCTTTATCGTTTAACATTTTATGTTAACTTCAAAAGATAATTTTCAACAAAAATAAAATCTTATAATTTCATTATCTTTCATTTTTTCAATATTTGTATGCAATGACACTACTGTTATTTGTATTATTAGCTTGATACATGTACCATTAGCTACCCTTCCAATTGTAAGGGGACTATATGTAATCAAACAAGTGTGTTATGTATAGGTATGTTGACAGGTCACGGTCAGACGACGATACACTAGTAAAATCATACAATCATAAGTTTCCCCTTTCAATAGTTTGAATCGTTATATGGTCAGTTAAACCTAAACAGGATTTTATTCTCAAAATCCCGGCTCCTTATTCTCTATTGTAAGTGTTACTGTTAGAGCAAGGCTTTGCTGCATTCAGCATACGTTTTGAGTATTATACGGATAGCCGCTTGGGACGTTTTCTTTTGAAAATAAGATAAAACAAAGCCGAGGAAAACTCCAAGATTTCAGCTTTTTTAGCAGAATGTTCATTAATCGTCAGGCATTTAATGGTGATAATAATGGTATACAATCATAACGAAACGTTGTTACGTTTTTCACGAAAACTATCACCGACATCTCAATAGCGTTGTGAGTCCTTAAAACCAAGTGATACCAGCGCATTCCCAGGAACTATTAATACAGGGGTTATGCACAGTACCTGTCAAAATGAACCAATCAAAACATAACGCTGATATGACAGAACAAATACGTATTCGACCTTCACTGCTCGGTCTATTTATCGTCGATACATGAATGCATGCGATAGTGTTTTACAGCGTAGAAAATTAAGATTTAGAAACGTGGAATGCGTTTCGGTATAATAAAACAGGTAGAGAAAGTTAGTTTGAGGCATAGTAAGTTTCTGATTTCCTTCGACTTAATCTGTTTTCTGGAACAAAATTATGCCTCGGTTTACCAAAGGCTTGATATAATACGTCAAAAGGACCCTTAAGATATATATAATAAACACACTAATTCCATAAATCACATAACAAAATAACGTATTGTATAACATAGCCTGCAGCAACGTATACATTATAGCTAACTGAAAATATTATTTAAAAATAGATGCTTCGAGAAATTAAAATAATATCAATCAGCATACAACTTGGTAAAATTTGTATCAATTATAACACCAATAACAATACAACGCAAATGTGTACTAGAAGTTAGGACTATCGGTGTTTTCAGATAAATTTGAAGTAAGAGGGACTTTATGGTCATGCAATGTAAATTAAATATTTGATTGTATACGCAGCCGAGGTTAATCTCGTGAACGACCACTATAAATCAAACAAAATTAGAAACTATTTTCTTGAAAAAAGTACGCCTATCAAATGAAATTCACTGATTCAAGTAACTACTTCGTTCATGCTTTGCTAGTTTACTCTCGTCGTTTAGTTTCAAATGTACCACAATAATACTAAAAAGTAAAATTCCAACAAATCACCTCCCTTGCATGTACATCATGTAGGAACATATCCTAGTTTGGTTAAAGGGATATGTGATTTGGACCTAAGCTCCCCTGTAGAGACCTGATTACATATTTTAACCCGTATCCTGGGTATGTACCATCATTTCCAAAAACAAAATTCGGGGCAAAATTTGAATTCATTTAATCGACATTAAGCGCTAAGTAACATTTAAACGAAGCCAATATAGTGTTGCCGTGTGTAAGGGTCGTATTTGATATTGCTTGATTCTCGATCTTAAGATAGACAAACGTTTACTAGTTGAAGCTAACAATTTATTTGAAGACAACGAGCAAGTATTCATATGGAAATCATAATTTATGTTGATAACATATCATATCCAAGTGCACATAATTCCTTGGTCGTATTCTCCTCGAAGTTATCTAGGGTACCCATCTAAATATTTCCTTTTTATCATACATGTCATTGCTTCATTGCTTTCAACATCAACATACCGTTTTGTTCAAAAAGGTTTGTGTCGCTTCATTTTTTATTTTGAAGCCTACCAATCATTGTAGCATGTACAGTACCGGTTATTCGGTATTATTGATGATATCTGAGTATACTTTTACTTGTAGTGTGTGTAGCCGGATTTTATGGCAGCAACTGTTTGAAGTCGTGTGGCAATTGTCAAGGTGTGAGTTGTGACAAGGGTACTGGAGACTGTACGACAGGGTGTACAGATGGATGGACTGGAAACAAATGTGACAACAAGGGTAATATTCATATGATACCCTTAACATGAATATGTTTGTTCAAAACTATGTCTAAAACTAATCTCCTCAGTATTAATTATTCATTAGATTTGTTTTCAACCAAATATGTAGAATATAATAAAAAAATCACTCCAATCCTAAAGATTAAAGGAGGGACATGAAACAGAAAATAATAACTAATGAAAAATACATGACAATTCAACATTGTGTTATGCTGTAGTGGTAATCATAACGAATGGGGACTCCGCAGTGGGGATAGGCATCGGATGCGGAGTGGTTATACTGGCTCTGGTCATAGTGATAATTGTACTGGTCAGACGTCTGACGAAAAAGCACAGTGATATCACAGGGCCTGCTCATATGACAGATATATCATTGTCGAAAACTGCAAAAGAGCTCAAACAAAAGCAAGGTAAACATCTACTGCATTTGTACATTCGCATACGAATTATTTAACGTTTAAAGCGAATGTTTGCAACATTAGGGTTTCCATTGAAAAAAATACAAGTTTTCAATTGAATTGGTTTCTGAAAAGGAAACGCGATACCTTGAATGCACATTGTTCCCACTTTTAAACCAACTTCAAACGTTGTTAGCATATCTCAACCTTACGACATACACGTATTAGCTCATGTTAATAGCGTAACAATGATAGTACCAGACAGAAATTCAATTCATATTTTTTGTTGCATTTTTCAGATAATACCTACGACGAAATAGCAACTTACAACAAGGAACAAACCATTGCGCAGATTTTACACAATGAGGCAACTTATGAACAGCTTGGACGCAGGGAGGTGGGAATTCCACATATATACGAAACAACAAATACTGACAAGAAAACATAGGAAAATGGTTCCTGAAAGCTGCACAGATTCATCCTTGAACTCAACGTACCCATGTTCCTGTAACTAAATTACACTCATATAAAATTTGTTTGATTAACTAGTGTCAAAACTAAACAGAAAAGTACGTAGGTGATGAACATCGACAGTGCTGTGGATTAATTGTGTTCAGTTGTCAAATCTTGTGTGCTTTTTACATTGCCACAATATCTGAATGTCAGTTTTGTGAACCCAAGCATGTATCGTATATGCTCTCATTGTTAAGGTAAAGTATATGTTCATAGTGGATTAATATATCTTTGTTCTGTACAGAAGTTCATATATTTTGTATAAAGTTATTATTTATCGCAGTTAACCATCGCAATCACTCTATACAATTTGTCGTTTTTAATCCAAGAAGGTGTTTTGGTGGATGAATGTTTTGTGGGGATAAGTATAAGTAGCTTTAATCAAATTTTCAAGTAGTGTTAGATTACCACACAGTTGGCATCTGGTTGACAAGTAATAAGGTTGATAATTTATAGGAAGCATATACAATTAACCGAATACGAATATATCTTTAACTTTATGGTTTGATTAAACGCAAAGGTGCATGTCTAAGCTTTTGTTTTTTGATTTTGTGCAGTGTTAGACAAGAGTCGAAAGGCTATCGACTATATTACGAAATGTGCATTTATGTAGACAGTGAATTATGTGTTGAACAATATTAATATATTTCGGTCTAAAAGAGATTTCTTAGAATTGAATTATACACTAAGTAGGTATGCAACAGATGACGCATTATTCGCTCTCGAATGTGATTTTCATTTACACGTTTAGGTTTTTATTTCATTGTCTTAGTAAGTGTGAGAAATATACAAACATGGCTTTTACACGTACGAGGTATTATCTGATTATTAATTACAACCATTGACCACAAACATATGAGGTCCATTAACTATCAATTTATCGTCACTAATTATTATGTATTTTGTCCAACATAACATTTACGATAAACAAATAGCAATGATAATTCGAAGATCTTATATACCACTTTGCCATGACCTAGTTCGTAGGTCGTCTCAAAGCGGTACACATATAATCATCTGTAGTTATAGGGTCTTTACAGCCAGCCAATATCTTTCTCAACTCTCTGGGGAGCACACAGGAGGTGCTGCAAATTTGGCGCTTATAACTAGCACTCAACGATTCTAGCACTGCCCAACGACGTACTCATTTACAGCTGAGCGGACTAAACAAGCGAAGTAAAGTATCGTGTTCAAAGATGCAACACAGTGCCGTGACTCGAACCTGCAACCTTTCGGTCACAAGTCCGGAGTCCTACCACTAGACTACCGTGCCACCTATAAAGTGATATTTGCCATTCCCTATACATTAAAACATATCGGTCGTTTTATATGTTATATCTTAGTGATATGTACCTACATGTTGGTTAATCAAATGATATTCAATAGTTGATATACATTACACTGATGTCAATTAGAAAATTGGAAAGATATATCAATAGTATATGCGTTCAGGGTTATCGCACACACTGCTAAAAGCTGCACATATGCATTGAAATTTTTATTCCAGTTTGCTTTCATTTTTGATAAATGATAAATACTTTCGGAACATAAAAAGCAAAAACATACTGTGTGAATTCATTTTTATTTAAAAAAAAAAAGTTATTAACTAAATAAATATATAAATAAACATTCCACTCCAGTGCTTAGAATAAAAAAGCAACGGGGCTAGACGAGGATTCAAACATGGACCCTCCCTAAGTATATTGTCACTTTAACTAACTTAGCTACCTGGTTAGAGTGGTTGTACCCAATGTCTGGTCGACCAAGAGTTAGAAAATATCCAAATTAAGTGAACCCAACTCTATGTTGAAAAAACTGCGCGTATATTTTGACGTAAAGATATTTTTGGAATTACAATGATTATCAATTGTAACACTAGATCTCTCATATCGACTTGTGTCTGAAAAAGGACTTTTGCTAGTTTTACTAGAGATATTAAATGAGAGACCACAATTCACATATCTTCATGTCTTAATGATGTAATAACATTTCTATTATCATCTGAAGATATCCTAGAATGTTTTACGTTTGACTGATTATCATGAATACAATTCAAAATAATATCAAAACAGCGTTTATTCGTTTTTATTTTTGTATATTAGTCGTCGGGGTTTAGAAGCTGATAGGTTTATGTACGATTTACTTGCTGAAATGAGTTACAGACTGATTTGTGAAGTTAAGCAAACCTTAATTGCCATCATTGAAAAAAAAAATGTTCGATAGAAGTATTGCACGTGATACATATTAGTCTTTATTTGTTATTCATCGTTTAAGACATCACATGTTTATTGTCTCCTGCATCAATTGGTCCTTACTGTGGTGTCTGCTGATTATGGGATATTGGGGAAACTCAGAAGACTTCTGCTCTTTCTAAATGTATGATATGTCATGAGGTGACTAGCGTTCCTCCGCATCCACAAGTATAAGTCAAATCAAAGTATTTTGAAGTTCTCCAAGATAGAACCAGTTGGTCAAAAATACTGATAAGAAACATCTTTGATGTTCATATCGCGAAATCCCCAATGGTATATTGATGGCGAGCATAACAGTTGCCAGCAGTCTTTATCAAGCTGCATATTTCGAACCTTTATTGTACATTTGTCAATCAGCGTCCATGAGGGCACACTAAACAGACTCGTCGGATACGAAATATACCTGTCTAATACACATGACTGAACATCAAGAAACAGGTGATACATGGACACCACAGCTGGCTTAACGTTCATGTCTGCGACACAGTACGAGCGGTAGCTGACCATCTCCACTGACCGTCGAGTAAAAGCAAAAACATGGTACTCGAATGATGTTTCGCTGGAACTGTGTGTGGTGCAGGTTTATGATGAGTTTACTCATATCTATCACATAACTGAACTATGAATGTCATTAACATAGCATCGCCATACCTTTAACTAAACTAATTATTTGTGAATAGATAAAGTAAAACATCCTTTTGTATTAATGTTAGTACATCTACGCATTTGAATGACTGAATGCGACATTTGACTATAGATTTCATCAAATTATTTCATAGAAATATTGTATGTTGCAACATGCTGTCGTAATCTCCCTTTGCGTACGAAGTTATCTTGGGAAAACATCAGATTAAAGTCGTTCCCACTGCTATAGCTAGAGATACATAAGATAATTATGGAGCATGTATTACGATCACAACAAAATCAATTTATTGTACAGCATATCAGAAATGGTAACTGTAACTCTACATTCATATAAATACACAATGTATTGTTTTAGAATAACAAGGAATTTACTGACCACTAACATTGTTTACATAGTGGTGATCTATAGCCAAGACACCACAGACTGTTACACATCAGTTGCTGGCCTCAATCTTCACGTACAACATGACCAGCAGAAACGCTTTACTAATAATCTGTACGACAAGCGAAAACAATTGATAATCCGATCGTGATCATTCAAACATTTTGTATTGATTCACAACTTACTCATTAGGCCATTTCCTAGTCATGGTAGTTACACCCCTGATTTCCCAACCAACGGTGTTTATAAGCATATGTCGCAATCGATTCGATATTATAAGACTTTGCTCCGATTAATAATTTAGGTCACCTACTAACGGACCAACGTACGACAGAGGATTTCAAAATATGCAGGATGAGGTAAATTGGATAAGTTTTTTGGACGGCATTGTGATTTCATAGGGGATAAACTATTTAATTTTCATCTGAAGGTCGATTTTGTTATTATTATTCTGTTGACAGTGCCCTGTTGTCACAAGTTAAAATTCCATATTTACATAATTTACCACTATAAATATGTTGCTCCATGCACAATGTATACTGAACAAAAAAAAGAAACGCACAATTATATTATGCAATCAATAGCCTATGATACTTTCGGAAATTTGTACAAAATTTTATATCAATATGAAGGGACAAGTTTACTCTTTACAATACTGTAGAAGAAAAGTATGTGTGACGTCACTCGTGTCATCAGTAGTTACTCAAAGTAGGATACCCGCGAAAAACAAAATGACACTTTAGTACCTGGTGTGGGCATCTTTTGCACGAATCCCTGCACGGATTATCCTATGCATTGAATTCATGAGAACATTTATTTGCCATAAGGGAATGTTGTTCCATTCTTGTGTTAATGCTGCGATCAACTAGGCGCGGTTAGTTGGGGGGGGGGGGGGGGGGGGTGACGTTTCCTAATACGCCTGTCCAGCTCATCCCACAGATGTTCAATGGAAAACATGTCGGGGCTATATGGGGGCCATTCCAGAGGCTGAACGTTGTTTGCCGTGAGAAAACCACGACAGACTCTGGCAGCAGGCGGTCGAGCATTGTCTTGCTGGAAAGTTAGGTTATGACGTCTGAAAAGTGGAAAGGCATGAGGTTGGAGGATCTGGTCTCTGTATCGAACGACATTGAGGTTTTGATCCACGACCACTAAGGGGGATTTTACTCCATTGGAGATGCCTCCCCAAACCATTACAGAAGCCCCAACGAATCTATCGCGTTCAACCAAGCATGCGTCGGCGAAACGCTCACCGCGTCTGCGATATACCCTCTTCTCTTCCGTCTGAGCGATACAGACATAATCTAGACTCGTCGGTGAACATCACACGTCTCCATCGACGCATCCACAACCTATTCGGGCCATATCTGCGCATCCAGTCAAGACGCACTTGCCGCCTCCGTGGTGTCAGAGGTGGCCCGACATAAGGTCGGCGCGCAATGATTATCTCGGCACGCAAGCGGTTACTGGCAGTTTGAGGACTACTGGGTCTGCCATGAGTACCTAAGGTATGCGACGCAGTCTTTACAGCAGTCTTGAATCTGTTGCGCAAGTGCGACAATCGAATCGCCCTGTCTTGTCGTGCGGTCGTTACACGCGGACGACCGCTCCTGGGACGATCGGAGACTAACCCAGTAGCACGGAAACGTGTACAGAGACGGTTAAGTATACACGGGCCAACACCAAACTGCCGTGCGACAGCAGTTTGGCTATGACCATCCATCAACATCGCAATTGCTCTACCCCTCTGAATTTGCGTTAAGCGTGGCATCTCAGTCAATGGCGAAATCAAAATGCCAACGTGGAAAATTAATGTGGCTGAACTTTAAGTATCCGTTGAGATTATTCGTTTGAAAAACTCCGGCTTGGCTTGATCACGCCGCTTGATTTGGACTAAAGAAGCTCACAAAGTCACACAATGACATCGTCATGCTTGGCTGATTTTAGGGTTGATTATTGAAAAGAGAGATCGTTCTTGATGTAATACCTGACCAAATATTCCATTATTTCCTTACAGCTAAGGTGTACTGCAGGGGGAACTGTGTGCGTTTCTTTTTTTTGTTCAGTATAGTTCCACCTGAAAATCTCAAATGTGCTGATCATTAAGAAGATGGAGAACAGATTTATAAGTTACCTTTGTCCGCTTTTATAACCAGGTTATTTTATATTCTTTTGAACAAACGCATTTATGAAAGTACGTTTATCCATGAGGTTATACAAATAGGATAGTCTCTTGAGACGGGCATGGATCAGTATTCGTCCAAAAGGCAACACCAACGTCGGAAAACCCATCATTCATATGAACATATCTATGCTAAATGTGCCTACACACGATTTATTGAAGTCACCCTGTGAACGTGACGAGAGCTATGTTAAGATGTAATTGCATGGGAGAGGAATGTGTTATGTTGTCGTTATATTGTTATACTCACGTACCTGGATACCCATGTTGTTTTATAAATACTAACAATAACAAATAACTTTGACACAGACACTATATAATTTTGTACACAATTTGTATATTAGCTATGCTGATTGCCGGTGCAAAGGTAACCATGTTGCATTCGTGCGGGATAATATATATATATATGTAAAAAACTGTTCATGAAATACATTTATTTTGGTACGAGTTCACTGTAAACAATTGCAAAGTAACACAATAAAACATACAGAATACTTCTTGATCTACAAATATTTCGTTATATGTGTTTATTGCATCAAAATAAACCCATTTGTTTTGTATATCGAAGTATTACATGGTTTGGCTGAACCTCAAACTCCACTGATGTACCATAAAATCCCTTCACACCTCATTTTTCGTAGATGAATATACCAGACAATACATTATCCAACTACAATGTCATGAGTACTGCATGTGTCGTTATGTCTATTCAGCATCAATGAATGTATACCTTTCAATAACCACATGTTCGATTCAAAACTTCATATTATTCAGACTGTACTGATGGATTATACGGACCAGTCATGGTGGCTCTAGTAGTAATACATCCGACAAAACGTCAGGACATTGTGTTTGTAAGTACATTATCAACTCCAGAAAGCCACTGATATACTTGCAAGGTTAAATATGGTATTTAATTAACTTTGTGGTATATTTACGATTTAATGATTATCAAACGATGCCTTTCCAACAGCGTACACTGTTCTGATGAGGGATTGACAATTTTACACTACTAATAAAATGTGTCCTTTTTTAAGAGATTAACAATCATATGATGCTGAATTGATAACTATAGATAAGAAATACTCATCAGATTATAACAGAGTAACGGAGTTAAAGTGTTACTTGTCAATAGATAATTAATCAATAGGTAAACATAACGAAATGAAAAGTTTAGCCCGATACTACAACACTACCATTTATCAGTCTGTTTTCGAAATAATAAATATAATGTAATAGGGCATCAGTGGGGAGACACAGACACAGGTCCACCAGATGTGAAGGAGTATCCGAGTCATAAACCAATCAACACCTTGTTTCAAAGTTAAATGGAAAATAATATGTACGTGAATAACAGTACTCAGTTTAAAAGACAATACCTACAGTGTAAAGACAGTATGACATTCAATGAATCTATATACGAGCTCCCCGTGGTAGAACCTATAAGTATGTTTGAGTAGTCTATGATAATAATCATCCCCTCTCAGTACGCCGACATACGTTAAGATAACAAGCGTCAAGCTTACACTAACGTTCCCTACGGTGGATGTACTACTTTCAGTACACCGGTAGCACTGCTGTCAGCGCCTGGGTAAAGAGGGTTTCCCCTCCTAGTATAGCCGGCTTTCTTGCCGCGCAATTCACTGTTTTTGCCTGTGCATCCCCTTTTATACCCCACACTCTTGGACCTCTGTAACGTTTAACCCTAACCCTAAGTTGCTTTACTTCAAAATGGAAAGCAGTGCATGGGGCACATAGTTGTGTAATACAAAAAATGTTTGAAGTACTGTGTTTGGTTAAAATGTTCGTTACTGTATTCAACATGTCTTTATAAGCATGTCCTTAAAAGTACTCCGTGCCTTACTAAGGCTTATCACTTTTATCCTTTAATCCTTTTATTAACTATTCCACTGTCGCAAATGCCACATGCTTTCTATTTAGTATTTAATTTCATACTTTTGATTTGGTTTTGTTCTTGGTCCAGCATTAGTCATTCAGTTAATCTGTTAGTCAGGGAGTATGTAAACATCTCAACCGGTAATTCACAGAAACGACATTTTAAAACTTTTACCTTGGTACATAACACTAAATGTTTTAGTTATCTTTCGCTCATTCGTTAGATAGTAAACTGGCGGTTCCGGGCTTGACCTCTAGAGTAAAGACATTAAAAAACGACCTCTTTTACATAGGTATGAATGATCCCTTTCGCTGAAAGTTGTTAATTCTTTAATATGAGATGGATTGGAAAAGTATAAAGGCCACCTGGAAGCTATTAAGGATTTTGAACGTCTAATATATTTTGTATTGGTATTTCACAAGAACTAGAATCATAGAAGGATCACGAGGAAAACCTGTACGAATCCCCATAGTCCCAAGTTGTGTTTTCCTTAAATCAAGGCAAAATGTCGAAAAAATAGCCACACGGCTATTATGTGTTTTGTTAGTATTTTGAATGTAAAAGGTTTGTACAACTATTTCATGAAAACTACTGCAGGGATCATGTAGTTCATGTTGTTCAAAATTTTGCCTGTTTTGGTTTGAGATGAAGTTAAGTTTGTTACTGCTATTGACTTTTGGAACTCTTAAATCCCCATAGATTCTGTTCAAATTAGAGTTGATGCCAACAAAGCTCAATTACTGCATACATGTAAAGTTTGTTACTTCTATTTCTTGCTCCTTAAAATATATTGTGCACCTTTTTTTAACTTACTTATATTTGTTTGTACACATTTGTTGATATGTAATGCAACAACTAAAATTGCATTTTTTCTTTGATTTATGTTTAAAACAACACTTCTTCTACTTCTCTATACGTTGAGGCACTGGGTAGCATATGATCAACTGCCATAAGCATAGCTGTTCAACATTTGTTTTGCCAGATTCCCTGATAAAACTGATACAAAACTGATCGATTTTTATGTACCAATACAGAAATATATTGAATGAGATACAGACAATATGTAGGAGAACATGATCAACACCTCACTTGTTGTCACAGATATCACCTCTATACTACAGGGTATATGTTTTCAATTTCATTATAAATACACCGCTAGCTACCTTTTCAAGTTCAATATCTTTCAATATATATATATATATGGCTATTAACAATTGTATTATACAGTATATGTCACGGTTATGTACACATGTTGTGCCAAATCAAACTTACACCTGAGATCAACACCATATAGGTATCAGAATGTCAACTTATATATTACTGGTCAACATCGATACCAATAATCAGCATAAATCATGAACATACGTTTTTGCTCATGTTATACCGAAGCAAACTTCTGGATATCGAAAGTCGATGTGCAGGTCAGAAAAGCTCAAACTCATGATTAATGTGATACATTTTTTTTAATTTCGCATTTATTGTCGAAGCAAATGTATACCAAAGGTCAAATGACAGTTCACCTAAGGTTATTTGTCTAGAGATTATTATTATTAAGGACAGGATGACATTCATTTCGCTAGCACATATTGTCTTAAAAGTTATCAGTAGTTCCATTTGATGATAACTACCATCAGCTATTCATTCCATTCGCACATCTTATGGACCAAAATAAGCCAACGGTCAAACGTCAAAGGTCATTTTGAAAGTTCAAATCAAATAAGATGATTCCTGATAGACTTACAGATTTTACAACATAGGACAATATGTGTGGGTCACCAAAAGTCATAGGTCAGTCTAATTACATGTATAGTAATAGGAATATCCATATGAAATACTTTTCATTAATGAAACAAATAGTCAGATATATTATCTGCGTAGGGTTCAGGCTTCACGCCATAAAAAAACGCTTTATACAGAACAATACCGACACAGAAACATAAGCAGTACTAGAGCTTCAAAATACCCTGTGCCATTACACTGGTGACCGTTCTTATCAGTAACACCTAAAGCACCGGCGTATGTGTTAAACACGCATACATTTAAGCCTGACCTTTTTTAGTACTAGACTGAACATGCATTGTATATGACTTAGACTGGTACAATGCTGCAATATGTTACACACATATCCCTTTACAACGTTACCATTTATAGTTCATAAATAAAGAGCCATTGCAATGAGGACACAGACGAATGTGTAGCTCGCTCGTTTACCTGCGGTTACGTCTGGAGTTCACAACTAAAATACTAAAAATATCAGTTATGGCGAACGTACGCATTATATGGGCACCCCTCCTTTCGATTTAATAGATAATCCGTTTCAAGTGTCGTAATGGCTTATTCTAAATCATGCATAATACAATACCACAACAATATGATGAACATATTTTCACTACTACAGTAGGACCCCATTTCTTCCATCGGATTAAGAGTTACAGATGCGCAATAATCTAAGATGTCAACATACAAATATGAAGGTGTCGCAATAACGTTTTCGTTATGTCGATATATTATCACATTTCCCAAGATAACTTTAACTTAATATATATCACGAAGGTAGGTAACCCGGTGTTTAATCCCGTTATGCTATGTTTGATATCGACTTGCACTTGTTGATGCTTTATATAAAAAATGTTAGTAAACATTTATTTTTCCGAGATAAATTATCATGCGATGTGCTTGTTAGGACTGATCATCAATATGCCTCGTTTTGGGTTTCGTAAGTGGATTACATAGCGGGGATAAGAGATACTAGGATACATGTAGGTGATTGCTGCATAGGGGTCAACCGGATCACGACAGGTTTTGCGGAAACACTTTTCGATCTGAAAATATAATATATTTTAATTTAAATTTAAATAATATTAATGATGAATTACGTTTCTTGCCAATAAAACCCGCCGGTTAATGATCAGAATGTACCTCATGTACCTCATGCCTACGACATATACAGTCTTTGCCAGTAGAAAAGATTGTCAAAGAAAGTTTAGACATGTGCACAAACAAAAGAACAAGATAGCAAATACTGACAAAAAACAACCTTATCGAATGGCTGTGCAATACGACTATTTACTTCCTTATTGGATAGTTGTTGGCTTGCGATATAGCAGACACAAAGCACCCGACTTATGCGATACGCAGTATATGTAGAATGGAGGTGCGTAAACTCTGGGTGCAGGAGGTTATGTGTCTCTTATCAACTTCAATGATTGTCAACACATCAGGTATGATTGTATGTACACTTTTTGTGTATTCTTCATTCTAATGTAAAACTATACGTCACATTGATTTAGATCTACATATCATAGCATAAGCCGTAGGTGCTTAAACATTGACATATTGCTGATACACCATGTAGGGGTTAATATTTAGCGTGCACCTTAGACTCATTTTTCAAACTTCCGCGTTGTACAGTTTTCGTGACAAAGTATTGCCTTTCAATTGTGCTTTGTGGCTACTGGTCTTTCTATTGTATTAACATTGGCAGGGCGATTGATATGATTTACAACACTGTTCGCATGCCCTTGACAAAAAGAACACATTAGTCTTTTATAATCGATATGAACCTATATAATCTACCAACACCTTATATATATACGTTAGCCGAGGGGCTTATTGTCTTTATATCTTAGTAGTATGCCAGTATATCTAATTTGTTTAAACGTAACGTATGTGTTTTGTGTTTTAATGTGTTTAATTTGACGATCTCATAATGTCTACTTTGTTAGATTTACTTCCTTGTCCCATATATATCATAGGTCTATACTAACGACAGTATGATCCAATTTGGACTGGATCCGAACAAACAAGTGTTGTTTGGATGTGTATTACTTCACTACATATATTGGCAAAGAAAAAAAAAACGGCAGCGCAGACAAAAACATTTTCCAATTATTCAGGGCGATCCGCCCTTGTTTGAAGACAGAATATGAATATTTACATATCACAAAATAAAACAGAGAGCAACAGTCACTGTGAGACAGTCATACACATGCATTCATAATCAAAAGCATAGTAGTTTCCTATATAAAAGATGCTGTTAAATTGCATTGTATCTCCTCGGTTAGCTTGAAACAGAAGGCTAATTATTGTACCATATTCATCTTGAATACGTGAGGTCAAGATAATTCATACAAAACAATCTTAATAACATTATTGAGAAAAATCTTTGGAAGACGACATTGAGTTCTCATTGTTTTTACTTACTTATACCATTCTACAATTCTGATTTACAACCATTAAATAATAATGTTTTGTTTATCCGGTCACATTATTCCACAGACCTAAGTTGTGTGGAAGTGACCCTATCTGCCATTTTGATTTGCACAGACTCCCCATCCCTCGCAGTTTTCTTCACTCCGTGGTTACCCGAACAGCTACGGCTATTCATTTTCTCACATGGTTTATAAACATTTTGTTATATTTATGAAGTTAATATCACGTCTTCGAGATGATTATTTAACCATAATTAAACTTCGGTTACAAGCTATCCGAGCGCATATGCACTAATATCATCATATTTCTTAATTAATAAATGTTTTTCTTTGGCCTGTTTTTTTTTTGTAATGATAGTCATTAGGAACATGGGCGTTTGATCATGAATTTTAAATCAGAAAAGAAATCCGGATAATTAGTGATCTGCAGTTGTTTTAAAGATGATCATAACAGTTTCAATTAAAAGTATAACATAACGTAACAGATTAGTCAACCGGTCAAATCATCACTATGATAACAAAGTCCTGGTTCTCTTTTCTAATCAGTTTGATGGTACATGTGTACATTTGTTTACCAATATTAATATCCGTTCACCATAAATTTGTGCACATCATTTGTGTCTTTTAATGCTTGATTTTAATATCAACACAGTCATACATTGATGACCATGTAATGCTGATATTAGTGACCGTTATTATTACTTTATATCGGCAATATATAACTTTTTTTTTGTTTACAGTTAACACCAGTCGTGAACCAAATGTCAAAAACACCACTCAAAGTTCAATCTATCTTCCTGAATATCCTAGTGGTAAGGCGGTAGATGGCTGTAAAACACAAATATTCGACAGCAACAATTGTTGTTCACATACACAGACAGGTCAAAAGGAAGCATGGTGGCAAGTAGATCTAGAAGAACTTATAATGATGGAACACGTCAAAATTTATTACAGAGGTGAGTATCCCCATCTTTGCTTAATGCTATTCTCTCTCAGTGGTTTCTACTACTCACTACCAAAATGTATGTGATGCCCACCTAAGAAACGTGGTAACTCTGTCTTTCTGGTGGTGCCCCGTATATATCCGTGTTTATGTGAAACACTGGCGGTTACGAGGTTGGTAAACAATCAAACTAGATATTTGTATAATACATTATACAGTGACATCTATTTTAGATATACATATTGCATAACAAATCCCAAATGGTTGAAAGGTCCGTTACGCCTACACCGAGAATGGCACAAACAACACAGATGACGTCATACGACAAAACAATACAGACAGTCCAATGCAAAGCACACATACATGCAATAAATATATCAATAGATGAGTTGTAATGCTGTCTACGTTGTTTGTAGTTCTGACTTATGATTCTTCGGTCCAACAGGTTGTAACTGCACACCACAGGTTTTCATAACACTGTTGTACAGCTTGTATATAGACCCTGAATTAGTTCGTGTTTATTAACGACGGACTGTTGTGTATACATGTAGTACTTGTATTTTAAACCTTAAGTGATCTGACTCGTTTTTTTGTGTATACGTAAACACACGACACCGTTCGATACATGTGTAAGTACTTATGTCCGTGTACCTATGAATAGGAGGTGTGGTAAAGTCAATCCATGTTAGGCACAATTTGATTGAGGAATTTTCCTAATAATGATAACCAGCAATGATTCCTCCCTGTACATATGATTTGATGTGATATAGCAGCTTAATGAAACGTAACAAAAACATTATCGATGGAAAGTTCAATATGTTTCATTTAGATAAATAGTTTATAACCTAGACTAAACAATACAGTTTATAACCTAGACTAAACAATACAGAAACAATATGTATGCAATTTATTTTGTATAATTTTCGGAATTATTCTGAAACAATCTATCAATTTATAAAGGCAATGATGGGCTATGGGGCAATATCATTTCAATGAATGTTTACTAGATGTTAATAATAATCTAACTTTACGGTTTCTTTGACAGAAACATTCCTTTTCTAGATATTGACACATTTATTTAAACAGCACGATTCCGGGATTTGCTTTGCATAACAATTGTTTGCCTGGCTTTGTCTGGGTTTTTTTTTTTATATCATTCCGGGATTTGCTTTGCATAACAACTGCAATAATTACACAGATAATTCGTTAACTGTAGGACGAACGTATTATACACATTGGCAATTAGGGCTTTTCGCCAAATGGTGAAAAGGCATATCACTTTTGGTTGTTTCTTGTTATTCTTCTTTTTATTAATGTTGTGACAACCTAACTTTGTATTGGTAGCGGGTGTCTTTATAGGCTTTCGGATCTATTGTAGGTCATTGTCAGGAGGTGTGCACTGCATTATTGAAGCACACATTTTCAATTGGTCCATAATTCAATATGGTCGCCATGACTTCAAAACTATTGATTATTCAGTATTACTGTATGTACATCATCTGTAGATAATGTCCGGTGCCAATTGTTTTATCATTACATGTGAATAGCATTTGTTACAATTTTTTCAACTTTTTCAACTTTTGGATTGCAATCAGGGTTGAGAAAAATGACTGGAATCAATTCTCTTTCGAGGTCACATCGATCAAATGATTAAAACAAATCCATTTGTTATAGGTCTCAAGATCCCAAATGTGCTATCTTAAGGTACAACCTCTTTGAAAAACTTCATATCAGTTCTACTAGATCCAGAGGCTTAATAGGTTCAGGTCGTTGGCTATAAAACAATGCATTTTAAGACCAGAATTGGGACTGCCACCTTTCTCATTAAGAAGCAGGCTCATGATTAAGGTGCGTCCCGGCCAAAAAGAGAAAACAAATTTAAATCCCTATTTTCTCAGAAGGTTTCTGCATCAGTTGCCTGTTGCAGAACAAACATGCAGTCGGTAACCGCAGGCATGTGTTTTTTTCTTAATCATCGACCTACAGGGGTGTTCAAAAACAATGAAAAGTGTCAAACTTTTCACTGGTAAAATAATACGATTCGTATTTTTCTCGCGCGGATTAGATTTTCCTTGCTTAAACGCGAAAAAACCCTGCGTAAAAACAATATTTAAGCATATCTCTAGTGGAGAATCTTGTTTATCAAATAGGGGAAAAAATACGATCAAGATTATGAGCAAAGACAACGATTTGGTGGCTTTCAAATATACCAGTCGAACACTTCGGATTGGCGGAATGGTTACCTTTGCTATAAAGACACAACATCAACGTCGGCCGCGTTGTCTTTGATTCCCCAGATCCCATGTACAGGTAGCGCCCAGTACCTGACGATATACAGCGATAGACGGTCAGGAGGTCTAGAGTGGTACTCTACAAACGCTTATCTCGAGCTTTGCGAGGTAGAAGTTTACGGTACGTAAATTTGATATCAAACATTACAAAAATGTGTTATTCTTATGTATATGTGGCTGTGTTTGTTATAACACAAATCGATAAAATTGACTTTTAAAATGGTTGAAAAGAAATGGAGCTTTCAGTAAGGTCAAGAGAAATATTCATGAAGATCTCTATTTAAGAAATAGGGATGACTATTCTTACATCATCGCAGTTCACTTCAGAATCAGTTGTATTATTTTTGTTTAATTACAGACTTGATGCCCTCTTTTTCAATAATTAATGTTTGCCATTCGTTATCGCCTATGACTTCGCGTGTCGGGTCATTAAAATATTTTGTTGCAATTATGAAGGTATTATTGTACTTGTGCATCATTATAAAGTTGCATATGATGTTACACGAGAAGGAATTTGTACAACCAAGGGGTCTATCCAGCGATACGACAATTGAAATTGGTTAAATATATTTTAGCATGTTTTTAATGTAAACAGATATGCCTATGACACAAACTCGTATGCTTATATATTTTAGGTTGTCCACTTGGGAAATATGGTGATGATAATTGTGATTCCGAGTGTGGTGTAGGGTGTGCCAATGGCCTATGTGATCCAGTGACCGGAAAATGTGCATGTAATTATATCTATCTTAAGATATTGATACTCAGTGGGACAAAACAACAATATGCCATTTGCCTGTGGAACGAAAAAACCCCTAATAAGTGTATCATTCATTTTTTTTTATATATTAACGAGAACCGTTGTGATAAAACGTATTTTCAGTATAAGAACATAGTGTAGGTCGTCATCATAACCTGATTCAACTGATGGTGTTTGTGTATATGCTTTGTCGTCGTATAGGCTTTCGGTGGTAGCACATGGATATGTCTTATCAGGGTAACATTACAACATTTATATCATAACATTATAACATTTTGTCATTCAAGTTAATCAACATATGGTTAGCAATCTTCAATATACATTTCTACTTAATTCCTGTCATAAAATCTATTGCATTCTTTGTCGGGACACAAATTCGTTTTGATTTTAGATTTTATTAGGAATTTGCTGATATCTATTTATCAACTTAATGATACCATGTTATGATAACATTCTGTTCTTATGAATTGATAAAATATGGTTCACAATAAACTTTTTTTTTTCTAATTGAGTGTTGTTTTGAAATATACTTGTTACAAGCACCATTTAGTACAATCACATTCTCAGTGAAAATTAATAACCTAATAGTTAGATATAAATAATATTGCTTCTTATAATTTTTTTTCGATTTCTGACTTGTTCTTTGTGATATTCCATGAAAGCGTGTACTCCCGGGTATTATGGAAGCCATTGCAATCAGACCTGTCCGTTCAACTGTAAAGACAACCGATGTATGCAAAGCAATGGCAAGTGTGAAGGTGTGTATCAGTGTAAAATATAAAAAACGTGTATAGAAATGTTTTATATAAGCATTAGTTAGGACATTATTTCTTATTCATATATTGTAATTGTCATGTTAACATAGACAATTCAGACCAATTTTGCATAAAAATAATTACACGTTACTGACAAATTTCCTATTTTAGTTTGTATATGACGTCTAATAAATTAAAATCAAAAATGGATATGCAAATTATATTCATGATGTAGAATTTGCAGCCCTACAACTGAGGGGAAAAAATATATCCCAAAGCAATTGTCCTTTTCGTAGGTTTTCGGTAAAATTAACTTAATCTCAGCGAAGCAAGATCGGTTATCGAGAAACTGATATAATAAGTAGAGAGAAAACAAGTTTGACATAACAACACATTCCGGTGGTAGTAAACAAATAACTTCACAACTTGATTGTTAAATAATGTATCAGGTCCGATTATTATTTGGTGTTGGTATATTTCCCGATCATCAAAACGAAGGGTAAATTATATCAAATCGAGGCAANCTATGGATTTTTTTTGTAACTTAACAATATTGTCGGATTCAATATTTCGGATTAAAAAAAATATAACGTTTGAAATGAAAACCCGAAGTTTAGGTTTCACATATTTGTGTACTTTTAATTTTTCTAACGCTTCTATGGGATAAAGTGTGATCAGTTATGTTTCTTTAGTTGCGGAAACAACACATGTACACAATATGGTGTGAACTGTACAGGTAGAGTGACTGTTATTGGATTTAACTTTAGTCAAAATAAATGTTTGAGGAATTCTCTTATGTTTGTGCATATATAATAAAACTGTCAAGGGCATGAAAAGAAAGGATGTAAGACATTTCTACAAAACTAATCAGAGGTATTTATAATTGTGTTTTGTATGCTCAAAGCAATGAATTATAATTATTTATACAAACTTGATATGATTGACTAGATTTCTAAATGTACTTGAAGATAGATACGATACAGTTGTATTTTTATCTGAAGAGAGATACTTGTAAACTCTTATTTATGTTATATTCAAGCCTGCGCTTCTTGTAAGTCAAGTTTGAACATATACCTAATTTATCTTTTTTTGGTAGTGTAAAGTGAACGATGTGGTCATTTTACCTCAAATGACTGCTGATGTTGTTATTTCAGCATGCAAACCTGGCTATTATGGTGGTACCTGCAACACAACCTGCCCGTCCAATTGCAAAGGGGATATATGTTATCAGGCCAGTGGGTTATGTACAGGTATGGTGATGTTTAAGGTATTTAGCGAAGATACAGAAGTAAAATCATAAAATTATAAAGGTAGAGTCAACGCCTATGAATATATAACATGAGCGTCGGCCCCCGCTTTGAATTTCAAAACAAAGATAAATACAAAAAAGGTATTGGTGTAGGAAGTTTAAATCATGAACAGTTACATAGTTTCAGAATTAATTTTATGACGAACGTGACCTTATTGACTTAAACCTGTGTGGGTGTTCAAGTTACGGTATTACAAGTCCTCCTAGAGCATTTAAATGACACAATTATTTCAAATTATATCATCAACCTGTGCAACATAATTCAACTGTTATTTCAATACCGAATATTACACTATGTCAAGAAGGAATTGTTCTTTTTATCTAAAATTTAAGCAGAAAAGTATTTTAAATCTTATTACTAATGAAAACATTTCAATTAATTTTAAATTTAAATTTAATGAAGTTAATTTACATAGTTCTTAAATGAGTCTATTTTGCAAACTTGCTTAAATCATGGCGACTAATAATATTTTTCAACAATAGGGATTTCAAAAAGGTGACAACCGGTAAATTTGTCATTCAACACCTTCGATTCAAAAAAAGAAAAACATCGATTTCTTTCCACTTTTCCTTTTACTTGTGTTCCTTCATAACCAAAGGTCTTTGTGTCTTGATATTTGGCGAAAACCTTCTTCATGTGTATAGAATGAAGTTTTGCTAACGTTGATGACCTTGACCTTCGTTCAAGGTCAAAACAATAAAAGTTTTGAAATATTTTATTTGTATGGGGAGTCAGGCAAGCATATCTTTCCTTACTTTATTTGTTTAAAGTTATCGATATAAAATATGTAATATTCCTTAATATTTTATTTAATGAAAGGGCAATACGCAAAATAACTAGAACTGTAAGCAAAATACTGAACTTATATCCCCTGTTTCTACATAGAATAAAACTGAAAGCTAAAGGCTAACTAAGGAGTTTGTTCTGGTAAATGAGTTGATATACTTCAGATAAAATCACCATTCATATGCAATTATTTATTTCATTTTTTCATTTTTGTTTTTATACAATATTTTGTCATAAAATATATTGCATTCTTTGTGGGGACACAAATTCGTTTTGGTTTTAGAATGAAATGATATCACTTCTGAGGTTTTTGTCGCTGATATGTATGTATCAACTGCATGATAGCATGTTATGATTACATTCTATTAATATAAATTGA